TAATATTATATAAATATACTATATAAAAAAAAAAAATATATATATATTTATATTATATAAAAAATATACTATATATAATTATATATATATATTATATATAATATATAAATATATATATATATATATATAAAAATATATACATCTTATAATATATATATAATATATATATAAAAACATATATATATATATATTATAATATATGATATATAAATATATGTATCATATAATATATTATATATATATACATATACATATATATATATATATATATTATATATATATATATATATTAATATATAGATAGTACTATAATTATTATATAGAGAGAGAGAAAGAGAGAGAGAGAGAGAGGACGAGAAGAAAGAGAGAGGGAGAAAGAAGAGAGAGAGGAACGAGAGAGAGAAAGAGAGAGAGACATAAATATATAGATTATAAATAATATATAATATTAACTATATATATATAAATATATATATATATAACTAATAATAAATATATATAAATATATATATAATAAATATATATAATATATATAAATAAATATATAATATATAAACTATATATAAATATAATCAAATTATATATATATATAAATAATATAATATATAATATATATATATATAACTATATATAAATAAATTATAATAAATATAATATATAATAAATATATATATAAATATATATTAATAACTATATATATAAATAAATAAATATAAAATATATATATAATATATTATAATATATATATATATATATATAATATATATACATATAATATATAATATATAATAATATATATATATTATATTATAATATATTATATAATATATACTATTATAATAACATTTAACATATATAAATATATAAATAAATAAAATAAATATATATATACATTATTATATAATATATTATATAATATATATATATAATACTATATATATATATATACATTACATATATTATATATATCATATATATATTCATATAGATACACACATATATATATATATCATATACATATATATTATATATAATATATAATATATATAATATATATATAATATTATATATTTCCATATAATATTTATATTCCATATATATATAATATATAATTCCTATATATATATAATATATAAATATAATATATAATATATATATATATATATAATATATTATAATACATACATATATAATAAGATTATACAAATATCAATATATACATATACATATACATAATATGAAATCCATGAAATAATATACATATACATATTTATTCAAATACATCCATATATACACATATATCATATACCATACACATATACATATATATTATATATATATATATATATAATATATATAGTATATATTATGTATTATATATTATGATTAGTCATTAAATATATGGTATATATAGATACATATATAATATAATATATATAAACCTTAAATATATGTATATATTCAAGATTTGAATAAATAGTATAATGTATATATTCATGTAGATTTTCATATATGTATAATATATATATATATATATATATATATATATATAATATAATATATATATGATATTATATAGTTATATTAATATATATTATATATATAATTATAAACATATTAAATATATATATATATATATATATATATATATAGATATATATATATACATATATATATATATATTAAGATATAGATATATATATAAGTACTATATATATATATATATATATTATATATATATATATATTAAACAATATATATATAATATATATAATATATATATTTATATGACATAAGTATATATATACATACATTACTACCTCTATAAATATTATAATACATATATATAATATTATATATTATATTATACTCATATAACCATAATAATATACAACATTATTTATATTTATATATATTATATAATAAATATATATATATATATATATATATAATAATAATCAATCATATACATACATACATATATCTATACATATAACTACATATATTATAAACATATTATATATATATAATACATATTCATATATACATATACATCTCTCTATCTATCTATCTATCTATCTGTCTATCTATATATATATGGGTTTGGATAATCTTAAGTTTGGATTCTTCAGTTCATAATAGTTTCTTGGTTTATGGCATGTTATTACTGGATGTAATGGAACCTATCTTGGCCATTAATTGCCTTGTGAAGGCAATTGCCTTGATGGACCAGGATAATGCTGTTTTGTTTGGTAAGACAGATCATCATTATTTTACTCAGGTTTCCTCATGGGTTGGGGTAATCTTGGGACCTATTTTGATTGCTTTTAGCATTTGCTTCACCCTATATCTCTGGAGGTGGTTGAGGAAGGAAAGAGATAAGAGGTTATCATTGTCAAGGGTGATAGGGTCACTGGTTGGCCTGGTTCTGAAACCTCTCCCACTCACCATATGCACAAAGACTTAGGGAGGATATGTCAACACAAACTACTTTATAAAT